GACACACACATTTAATAATGGAAATAAAATGAATACTAAATATAATATATTAAACATTTCAAACTCCCCACCACCTAAAAAAATGTAATTTTAAAGTTTTTATCCCTCAAAATGGCACCATTCAATTACTGCTCACCACAGATATAATTATGGTCAATGGCATCTATCATTTCAGCAAAAAGGAGTTTTAGAGGTGAACATTCAATGAAGGAAAATAAACATGTCAATTCACAAATGACATGAGAAAGAAAAAAAGAAAAAAAAATTGGCTGTAAGAACAAGAAATGATTAAAAGAAAGAAAGATAAATGTGGGAGGTCAGTAACAAGACTGACTGTTCTGTGTGTGTCAGTCAGCCATTCCAATCACAGGTTGAAATTCAATCAGAATTGGATCAAGATGCTTGAAATGTCAACTGAGAGCAGTGATCCCCTACAATAACTCTTTGCATGTCCAGAATTATAGCGACACACCAGACAAATAAAGAAAAATAAATAGACTAATCATCAATGAAGACAAATGGAGGGAAAAGAAAGAAAAGATTAATTAAAACTAAGAATGAGCAGTTATTCCTTACATAAAAATCAGTCTTATGAAGCTTCAAACTTGTTGCTTAATTTAGATATAATTGATATTGGCTCAAAATCAAATATTGGATCAGATTTAAATACGAAAAAAAATGACAAAAAAAATCATCTTCTATGTGCCTTGTCATTTCAGGATGTGGGAAATCATAGTTCTCCACAACTTCCTATTCTTTGTAGCTCTTAGCAATTTTTGACTCTTTAGCATCCTCCCTTGTACCTGCTCATTTCTTTTTTTTTTCAACTATTCCCTCTCACTTCCTGTTCCATCGTCCATTTACACAAGCTTTTTAGGCAGATTCCTTGTTGTTTCCCCATTTGTCTCTCTTACTTTTAATATGTCTTTTTTGATCTTAATAAAAAAAAATAATGTCCTACAAGAATCACTTTTAAAAATTTGTAATGATATTTCTAGGAAAAGTCTATAGAAATGTGTGTCTTTGTGTGTGCATGGTAACACAAAAATCTGGGGAATATGAATAGCATACACAAACAGAAAGTGATAGTCTTAAGCAATAATATTTATAACACAGTATATACAAGATGATATCCAGAGGTTCATCTCCCTCCCCTCTTTTTTTTTTTTCATCATAGAATTTCGTATATATCTTTTACTATCATTAAATTTTTATGACACGGGGTGCGTTTTGTAGGTCTCCCTAGAGTGGATGTGGTATTATGGTGCATGGAGGATTGATTGGTGGCGGACGAGTTCTTATGGTGAATGGGTAAATTGTATGAATGGGTCGTGAATCAGATTAGCTAGGTATAAGATAGTTAGTGAAGACCAGTCATTAGCCCTCCCCATTTTTGGCCTTGTGCCACAATTTTGTACTTTTACAAAATAAATATATACAAGATGATATCCAATAGTTCCTGAACAGCACATGCTGTGATTGTATTGTTCAACAATAGTGTGCATACTACTCATGTTTATTGGTACCCAACCTATTAACCGAGTCTAATAACAGGCTTTGTACTATTTTCTCACATTTAATTATTATGCAAAGTTCTGTAACATTGCTGGAATGGCTCTGTGATCTTTACAATGGGCAACATTAAATCTGCTGCCAAAATTCTGAAAATTCTTTGTGAGGCTTTAGGAAATTTTTTTTCTGTTGCACACAGGTTTTTCCAAGCAGCATTTCAAGGCCAGTCTAATGCCAATTCAAGATAACCTTTCAGGGTGACCAAACACCAGTAAAATTCCAGAAAATGTGTGAAAAATTTGAAAATCATATATGTTTCCAAAGTTTAGAACAACACATGTACATACATATATATATATATATATATATATATATATATATATATACACACACAGATTTCATAGATAAATAAAAATTGTTTTGCAAAAAAAAAAGAAAATTAAAAAATCATTAAAAAATAAGCAATAAAAAATAATTCAACCATTTATTTTTTTTTCTAATAATATAAACTATAATTATACTTATTTCAAACCAACTATGATTTTAAATATTAAGATAATGAAAATCCTTCAATATTTAGAGAAGTCAAATATATCTAATATCCAATAAATTATACATAGCTAGAACACTTCAATATATTAACAATTTACTTTTCTTTTTTTTTTCATACATACATACATACATGCCCTTTAAATAATGAAAATACTTCAAATATATAAAAATTATCAAATATACATAAGTGGAAAATTTCAAATTAGATTCTTTCATAAAATAATGTCATTAACAAAAAATTTGAAGTTGACATTGAAATTAACTTCTTTGGAGGAAAATTAATTTGCACCTTTTAAGAATAAGATTTCTGTAAATTAATTCAATTTTGCAATTAAATTCCATGATGAATGGATCTCAAAGCAGGGAAATACAAGTAAACATTCAATTTTATTTGTTGATATATATATATATATATATATATATATATATATATATATATATATATATTATATTGCTCTACTTTTGTATTGAGCCCTGTTTTAAATGAATATTTTGAACGCTGAAATCTTACTCTTCATTCTTTACATTTGGAGATTATATATATATATATATATATATATATATATATATATATATACATGGTATGCTATATTTATCGGCAAAAGTGTCTAATATCAGAAATAGAGTATATGTCCACTCATATATCGGTGTTGTTGGCAGAACTTGCTGCTAAGTATCAACATTTGTGTGTAATGAGTCCTATGCTGAATCTGAAGTGACATCTAGAGCTACCACATGGTAGGGTAGAAAAGTTCAGGCGATGAAGAGCTCTAGTTTTTCTTAAAATAACAAGGGGCTTCAAATGTTCTTATAGATTGAGTTGGATCTTTTCTAATTGATCTTTTAAGCTCTAAGTTGAAATCATGATCCCTCTTCCTGTTTTGACATCCTA